CCTCGGTGTTGCTCCCGCGCCTCGCTCAGACAGTGAGCGGGAACCGGTCTGTATGTGGGATCCGAACCCTCGGGCGGGAGCGCCGCTGCGCTTCCCAAGCGGCGCACTATCCAGTGCGCCACCGGTCCGGCCCTAAACAGAAACTTCTAACCCTAATTATGTGACTTTCTCTAGCAGTGAGGTCAGTTTCAAAGAAAAGCAAATTGTAAAGTTCACCCAAGGTATTTTCCAGTGAATATAATGGAAAGAGAGGCAAAGTCGCTGAAGGCAATTGTATTATCCTAATTAAATCATAAAGCACCCTCCACCCCTGCATCCAAGCCAGAAAATTAGGAGACATCTGATTGGTCACAAACTTCTCTTAATTCCACCTCTGAACCCCTTTCTATCTCCAGCATCCAAATTCAATACTTAGCTGAATTATTGTAATAGCCACTTGGTCTTTTCTCTTCCCATCTCCATGTTCACCAAGCTCTCCTCCATAATGCTTTTCATTATTCCACTAATTAGATGTTTCCAATGCCCCCTCTCCCCATGACTTATATGACAACAAACTCACAGTGTCATGCAAGGCCTTTCATGTTCTGGTCCCTGCCTCCTTCTTCGCCTCTTTTATCACTTGTCTTCCCCACTCTCAAGTACCCCACACTGCAAGACTGAAATACCGGCAGCTGCCCAGTCACGAGACTGTTCTCTCTGCCTGTAATACCTGCCACCCGTTAGCTTGCCAGGCAAATTAACAATCTACTCAAGGATAACCTCTTCTTCAACTTTTCCTGACTGCTGAGGCCCTTTCTCTGGAGTCAACAATGGGATGAAACAGAGACCCAGGAACTGTGTTACAGAAACAAGCCGGGGACTGTTCATAACACACAGGTTAGCACAGAGTTATCTCATTACACGGGTGACTACTCACAGCTCTGAGTGGCAATGAGCCTTTGCTTGTTGGTAAAAATGATTAATAACTATGATAGCTATGGTGATAACAGTTGTAGAGTTTCAAGGAGAAAAGCCAAATGTTTCAACAGCATTGCCTTGGCCAAGAAGTGACTAAAACCAAACTATAATCTTTTATTTATAGCACCTAGTGTTCTATATTAAAATAAATGTGATCCTTAGATAAGCCTAGTCCTGAATTATACCTTTAATGTTTATTAGCTGTGCAAATGGGAATGATGCTGACAGTTCTGAGCTTGTTTCACATCTGTATAGTGTGGATATCTCACAAGATTGTTTTAAAAATAAGAAAGATTAATTATACGTTAAAGTGCCTGTCTGCTCATAAGTTGTCTTCCATTTCTTCAGACCCAAGGTTTTTTTGTTTTTTTTTTTAAAGATGACCAGTAAGGGGATCTTAACCCTTGGCTTGGTGTTGTCAGCACCACGCTCAGCCAGTGAGCGAACCGGCCATCCCTATATGGGATCTGAACCCGGGGCCTTGGTGTTATCAGCACCACACTCTCCCGAGTGAGCCACGGGCCAGCCCAGAGACCCAAGGTTTTATTTTGGCATCCTTTTGCTTCTCAAATGTCTTCTGAGTTTCAAGTTAACCACTATCATTTTTCAAACTCAAAAGTTCAAAGGTGTCTGACCTATAAACTGTATAGATCAGAGCAATACAAGTATGATCATGTGTCATTGATGGAGTTTGGATGTGTTGTCCCCACCAAAACTCATGTGGAAATCTGACCCCCCATGTGGCAGTGCTGGGAGCTGTTTGAGTCAGGGGGGTGGATCCCTCATGAATGGATTAATGCTCTCCCTGGGGGAGGAGGGCCTGAGTGAGTTCTCGCTCTATTAGTTCCTGTGAGAGCTGGTTGTTTAACAGACCCTGGCACTACCTCTCTGTCTTGCTTTCTCTCTCCATGTGATCTGCTTGTACCCGCCGGCTGCCTGCTGCTTTCCTCCATGAGTAGAAGCAGCCTGAGGCCCACACCAGATGCAGCTGTCCCAGAATCATAAGCCAAATAAACCTCCGTTCTTTATTAATTACCCAGTCTCTGGTATTCTGTTAGAGAAACACAAAACAGACTAATAGTCACTTAATGACAAGGATATGTTCTGAGAAATGTGTTGTTAGGCAATTTCATCTTTGTGTGAACATCAGAGTGTACTTACGCAAACCTAGATGGCATAGCCTACTACACACCTAGGCCATAAACCTGTACAGCATATTACTGTACTGAATACTATAGGCAATTCTAACAAAATGGTTAAGTATTTGTATATCTAAACATAGGAAAGGTACAGTAAAACTACAGGACAAAAGATTTAAAAAGTGTTAACACCTGTATAGGATTGTTCTATGAATGAAGCCTGCAGGACTGGAAGTTGCTGAGTGGTAAGTGAATGCAAAGGCCTAGGACATTACTGTACACTACTGTAGACATTATAAACACTGTACACTTATGCTACCCTAAATTTATTAAAAAGTAAGTAATCGCACTACGACAAAGTCACTAGGCAATAGGAATTTTTCAGCTCCATCATAATCTCATGGGACCACCACTGTATATGTGGTTTGTTGACCAAAATGTTATTATGCAGCTCATGAGTAGTAGTTAGTTTTAAGCAGGTCTCCTGGGTTCTATTCCTTCTCCTTTCTCCAAAACAGCATCAGCTGTCATTATTTCCAGGTATGAAAATAAATTGCCCATATGCAGCAGAGACATCTCTGTGAGCAATAAAAAGCACTGAACAAGTACAGGTTTAGCATCACTAATCCAAAATCTGATATACTCCCAAGGCAACGCTCAAAGGAAATGCTCACTGGAGCATTTCATATAAGGAATGCTCAACCAGTGTGTACTCTGCAAATATCCCAAAATGTGAAATTCAAAACATTCCTGGTCCAAACCATTTCGGTTAAGGGATACTCAGCCTGTGTTTACGTACAAACAAGAATATGACATAAATAAGATGAGAAATAACATAAAATGAGAAATAACATTCAAGGCTGGCAAATGAGATTGGCACTCTCATACATTAGTCTTGGAGTTTGTACTACCTTTCTGAAAAGGCATTTGCCATGAGGATATTTAAATGTTAGAGGTTTTGACTCTAAATTCTATTTTTGTATAATCTCAATACATTTTCAAAAACATGAATAGGAGACTAAAAGAATAAAATATGAGGGCCGGCCCATGGCTCACTTGGGAGAGTGTGGTGCTGACAACACCAAGTCAAGGGTTAAGATCCCCTTACTGGTCAGCTTTTAAAAAAAGAAAAAAAAATATGGTTATTTCATTAATGGGAAATTACATTATTAATGAGTAATGGAATTTTTTTTTCTTCTATGTGTTTTACAAATTTTCTATCACACATATGTATAGCAGTTAACAAGATGTTTGTATTACACCGCAATTCAAATCCAAGTCCCTCTCATTACAGGGTGTGACTTTTGACTAATTCCTTAAGTATTTCCTCACATATAAAACAGTCCCAACCGTATAGGATGCCAAAGTGCTTGACTATTTTTATTATATTTAGAAAAAGGTTATTTTTAAAAACATCTTCACAGGCCAGTTAGCTCTGTTGGTCAGAGCGCGGTGTTATAACACCAAAGTCAAGGGTTCGGATCCCTCGATTGGCCAGCTGCCAAAAAAAATTTTTTTAAAAGCACCTCAAGTTACACGTATACCACAAACGCCCTCCACTAATTCCGTGAGCAATGTGGGACCTAACCTGCTCATTCATAAAAAACATCTTCAACTGGTGAATCGTATGATATGTTAAATTGTACTTCAAAAAAAGCTATTAAAAAAAAAAACATTTTCATGTAACGGTTCTGATAAACACCCTTTTCTTCATTTAAATGTCCACTTTCAGTAGTCAAATCCCATACTTCCATTTAAATTTGGGCAATTATCCTTGACAGAAGGTAAGATGATAAAGCCCCGCACCCCCCATCAAGTATCTCACGCTTAAGCTAAGATCCAAATCTTAGTTCGTAGTGACCCAGGAAATCCCTGACATCTTCCTATCAGGCTAAAGAAACGCAAAATGACAGTAATGACACTTTTTAAGTATTAGGGAGCTGAGCGCCCCAGATATTCTATATGCAGACCACTGTGCTCATATCTGTTTTAATAAGACTGGTCCAAAGGCTGACATTTTAATAGAAGCCACAGTTTTCAGTTCCAGGATCTGGTAAAGACAGGGCAGCCTCCAGATCTACAACATCGGAGGATAACGGCTCAGGGTTAGGGCCATTTCTTGGTGACATTGAGATGGTTGAGCTGGTCCGCCACAAACCGATGCGGGGGGAACTTGGAGGCCGTGGCTGCCTTTATGGCCTCGAAGGCGGCCGCCCTGCGCGCCGCGGCGTGGCCGTACTCCTGCTCGGCGCTCAGGTAGGGCGTGCTCAGCCAGTAGTGGTTCTCCGCCTCGATCTCCAAGCGGCGGAGCATGTTCTGCTTCGCATGCGAAGACACGATGCGCGGCCGCCGGTGCTTCCCGATCCACTGCCGACCAGGAATGCGATTGCGGCGGAGCAGGGCGGTCAGGAACATGGTGCCTGCCGAGGAGAGGGGACAGAGGCGGGAGACGCGAACGTGCGACGCCGGGCCGGGCAGAGCTGCGGCCTCGCGCCCTCCTGACCCCGGCGAGAGGGGCGTCCCGAGAACGCGCACGGAAGTGGGGGTCCAGCTGAGGCCGAAGAAGGGCCTCCCAGGGCCCCGAAAACGCCCAGCAACTCACCAGCCGCGCTCCCCGGGGCGACGCGTCCCGCCAGCGACAGGCTGATGCGACGGCGGAAGTACGCCCGCCTCGCGGCGCCCTGGATCCTTCTCGCGACGCTTCAGCTCTCGCGAGAGAGTACTTCGCTGGCCACGGACGGCGCTTCCGGCGCCGAGAGATTCAAACGTCTGGCGGGCGCGGGGCGCGGCGCGCGGCCGTGACGCCTGCGGCGCCTGGAGTCCCGCTGTGCCGAGCTCGGCCATGGACCCGATCCGGAGCTTCTGCGGGAAGCTGCGGTCTCTGGCCAGCACGCTAGACCGCGAGACGGCCCGGCTGCAGCGGGCGCTGGACGGAGAGGACAGCGGTGAGTGAGGCGGCCGTGGGGCCCGCGCCACCAGGGCGACCCAGGGCTGCGAGGTGCTTCGACAGAGATGCGCGGTGGGGGGTGCGCGTATCAAGCCGGGGCTGCAGGCGCCAGGGCCTCTCAAGCGTGCGGTCGTGTCTGGTTTCTGTTCCCTGTGCAACCGCAGAGCTCTCCTGAGACAGTGAAAGTAGCACTGATACTGTGTCGCGAAGAGAGACAGCGGCACTTACGGATAAAAATCTAATTGACAGAGTGAGCTCATAGTGCGTGCAGCATACATGACATGCTTCCAAGTTATATATGTGCGTTTGTCAACAAAAATAACGTGTGAAATGATACAATTTCTTTTAAAATGCACTATTTAGTATCGTTCTTCACACTGTACATATGTAGTAGTTAGTGACTTTTGTCTCACCCAAGTAAATGGTCCACAGTTGCAGTAAACGTCTGGATTCTTCCCTATAAGCCATATTGCCAACACAAACACTAATAGTACTCAATGCTGCTGCTTTTCTAAATAAATAAAGCAAAATTCACCGCCATTCACCTTTGCATTAGAGACCTTAAAAAATTGTTGCAAAAGTAGTGCAGATTTTTAGATTATTTCATAAGTGTCATAATTGTAATGCATCTTAAAATATTGTACCCTGCAGACAGACTCCTTTTACTGTAATTATATTATGAATAGTTCTCAAGCCGTTTGAAAATGTTTATTTTCGTGACTGTAAAAATAACATGTGCATCGTAGGAAATTTGAAATATGAAATAGAAAGAATATAGTAAATAGTCCCTATAACCCCACCATCAGAAGACACCACTATTAATATTCTATTAGCTTTTCTAGCATTCATATATTAGGGCTTTTTTGTTTTATTTTATTTGTTTAGTTGTAATAATAGACACAAAATTGCATTAACATTTTTGGAGTCTTGATATATATGGCAAATTGCTTTCAACAAACCTTGTGCTAATTTATCTTACCAACATATTACCTCTGCATAAACTCAGCATTTTCTTTTGGTTTTACAAGAAAAAGTTAGAATAATTCTTCAGTTCCTAGCCTATATGTATTATGGAAAATATGGAATTCTTGTAGAGAAGATGATCACAATTTCACCTTGTATGATCACAGTGATGAATTATTAAATCAGTTGACTTTTAAACGTCTTTATTAGAGCATGGTTTTATAACAGCAAGGTCAAGGGTTTGGATCCCCCTACTGTTCAGCTGCCAAAAAAACCAAATCTTTGAGATATAATTCACATACTATAAAATTCACCATTTAAAGGATACAACTCTATGGCTTTTAGTATATTCACAGAGATGTACAACCATCATAACAAAAAGTTTAGATTTTCGTCACCCCTAAAAGAAACTTTTGGCTTTAGGCAACCACTAATCTACTTTCTGTCTCTATAGATTTGCTTGTTCTGGACATTTCATATAAATGGAATTACACAGTATGTAGTCTTTTGTGACTGACTCATTTCACTTGGCATGTTTCAGTGTTCATCCATGTTACAGCATGTATCAGTACTTCATTCCATTTTATTGCTGAGTAACATTCCACATTTTCTTTATTGCTTCACCAGGTGATGGACATTTGTGTTGTTTGTGCTTTTTGTCTATTATGAATAATGCTGCTGTAAACATTCATGTGCAAGTTTTTGTTAGAACATGTTTTCAGTTCTGTGAGTATGTATACCTAGATGTGGAATTGCCGGGTTTTATGGTGTCTCTGTTTAACTTTTTGAGGAACTGCCACGTTGTTTTCCAAAGTGGCTGTACCGTTTTACATTTGCACCAGCAATTAATTGCAATTCGTTCACATGAAGGGCTGCAATTTCTGCACATCTTCACCAACATTTGTTATCATCTGCCTTTTTTCTTACAGTTATTTTCGTGGGTATGAAATGGAATGCCATTGTGGCTTTGAATTGCATTTTCGTTATGAAAATTGGTCAACTTTTAACAGGTGGAAGAAGGAGATCTTCAAAGGAGGTGTGTGTTAGAAAAGAGAACACTATAATAATCATAATCCTCTTAAAAACGACAGTTGGTATATGACCAACTGATTAATGACAATAACGATAGTGCAGTGAGTAAAGTATGTCTTTTCAGTAAGTAGTGCCAGGTCAGTTGGACATCCAGATGGAAAAAAGAATGGACCTTGATCCTCACGTCATGCCCTATACAAAAATCCATATAGTTGTAGCACTAAATGTAAAACATAAAACCATAGAGCTTTTAGAAAAAAATATAAAAGAAACGTGTTAGGAACCCAAACGTGCCTCTCATAAAGGAAAAAATCGATAAGTAGGACTACATTAAAATTAAGAAAATATGTTTATGACAAGACAATGAAAGGGCAAACTATAGAGTAGAAAAAGATATTGCTATATGAGGGGTCTTCAAAAAGTTCATGGAAAGATTTGTATTTTAATTCTTTTTTTCTATGAACTTTTTCTCTGCAACATATAGAGTACCCACAATTAATAAGAAAAAGGCAGACAATGCAATAGAAAAATGCAAGTCTTCAATTGATACTTCAAAAGAAATTATCTTCAGATGTTAATTAAGCATTTGAAAAGACTTCAACTTCTTTAGTTATCAAGGAAATGCAAATTAAATCCCAACTGAGTACAGTTGCATACCCACCAGGATAACTAAAAAGAAAAAGAGAAAAATACCAAGTGTTTGCAAAGATGTGGAATGAAAGGAACTTTGACTCACTGGCAGTGGGAGTGTAAATAGTAAAAAACACGTTGGAAAACTGTTTGGCAGTATCTGCTAAAGTTGAACATATGCATAATTTATAATCCAGTCTTTGTAGGTCTGTAGCATATGGAAATGTGAATATATTGGCACCAAAGACATGTACTAGGAAGTTCAAAGCAAGAGTATTCATAGTCCCAAACTAGAAACAATCCAAAGTCCATCAACAATAGAGTAGATAAATAAATTTGACATCATACAGTGGAATATTATACAGCAGTGAGCATGGATGAATTAGATTATGGATGAACATGGAGGGATGTTACAAGGAATGGTGAATGAAAGAAGCCAGTCACAAAAGAGTATATATTGTATGCGTCCATTAAATAAAGTTCATAAACAGGTAAATCTACTTTATGATTTTGGAAAGCAGGGTAGTGTTTACCCTTGAGGGAAAGGGAGGGACTACAAGAGAACTTCTAGAGTTCTAGTAATGCTCACTCCTACCCTCCCTGTTTCTTGATTTGAGGGCTGGTTATGCAGGTATGTTATGTTCACTTTGTAAAGTTCATCAGGCTATATACTTATAATTTGTGTACTTCTCTGTATGTGTGTTAAGTTCAATAAAAATTTTAAAAAACAGCCTTAACACTTTTCTTAGCAATTGACACGATATACATTATAATTGACAGGATATAAGTTATAAATAAATATCTTCAAGGATCTTATAATTGTATGAAGCTATACTAAATTTTCTATTCTTTTTCTTCCTTCTTTTTCTTATATTTATTGGACTTTTTTTTCTTTCAATATTCATATTGAAGACTTTGAAGATCATCCAATGAGAATTTTACATGACCTTCATTCAGAAGTCCAGACTCTAAAGGTATCACTCCTATAATATCATTTTTTTGATAATTTAAAAAATCTAAATAGAGTGAGTTAGAAGATAAATTATAATATACTTTCTTTCCTCATAAAAGGATGATGTTTATATTCTTCTTGATAAAGTAAAATTGGAAAATCGAGAAAGCATTGCTTTCATAAAGGCAACAAAAGTACTGATGAAAAAAAATTCAGCAGATATCACGAAAATGAGAGAGTTTTTCCAGAAGTATGGATATAATCCACGTGCCAAGAAAAATTCAGGTTTGAATAACTTTCATTTTATAGCATTTGATTTAGTATTAAAGAAAGAATGCAGCATGATTAACTAACACAACTGTAGGCTTGGCTATGGTTGTTAATTCTTGCTCTACCATTATGTGACTGTCACTCGACAAACATCTGTTCAGCACTCACTGTGTGCTGCATGCAGTGCTGATCAGTGGTGCAATGTAAAGACAGTTCTTGTTCTCCTTTCCAAAATGCCAGATGAGAACTAACACGATGCTAGATCAGAGAATTCTTTGAGCTATTTAAATGAAAAAATACAAGATAAATCCACATCACTCAGGATAGGCGGTTTGTTGTCAGCTCTGCCAATAAATAGCTGAGAGACCTTAAGGCATGCTGTTTCATTTTTCTTGTTCTCAGTTTCCTCTTCTGCAGAATGAGAGATTTTGGCTATATAAGTTGATAAAATTATTTTTTAGTCCTAAAATTTTAATGAAGGGTAGTATAGCACAGCAGTTTAGAATTTAGAGCCAAATTGCCTGAGCTCAAATATCTGTTCCACCACTTTCTAGCTGTATTATCTTTGGCAATTTCTTAACTTTTTGCCTCAGTTTCTCATCTGTAAAGTGGGGATGTTTAACAACTACCTCATGAAGTTGTATGAGGATTAAATGAGATAAAATTTGTTTAGAATGGTGCTTGGCATGTCAGTCGCCCAGTGTTAACTACTGTTGTTGTGCCCATAACTGTGAGTGACTAATTTCAGTATACTTCAGTGTCTTCATTTCTATTATGAAAATGGTCTTTGTGCATAAGTAGAACATTAAGAAAATTCAACACATGTATCGAGGATGTGTGTGGAAGGTATATTTAACAGTTCACACACTGTAATAGAAAGAATCCAGTTGCCTTTGCGTCTGGCAGTTTAGCTCAGTTGGTTAAGAGTGCAGTGTTATATAATACCAAGGTCAAGGATTCAGATGCCTGTACTAGTCAGCCACACAAGCAAAAAGGAATTCAGTTGCCTTCACTGTGAAAAAGCCATGGATTTGAAAATTGGCTCCACCAGTTACTATGTGTGTGACCTTGGGTAATTTCTCTAAATTGCTTTTTTCCTCACTTCTGAAATGGGGATAATAAAATTGCCCAATGTAGTAGTGACAACGGTGATGATTTTATTTTATTATTCTCACCAGTGACAGCCCTGTGATAAATACAACAGTAGGTTTTTTGGTAACTTTTGTAGCATTCCTCAGATTGACAGAAAGCACAATGCCAAAACAGAACTTAGTGAGTCAGAAGCTCTCCTAAGGGCCAAAAGCCATGAAATGAAAGTTCATGTTTGAGGAACTACCTATCTTTCAGATGCTCTTCTATTATTTTTCTCAACTAGGCTTTTGATACAGGTATTCCAGACTGACTTAGGATAAAAATTTACCTTTGAATGATAGTCTTTCTTTTTAAAATTAGGCATCTGAAAATTGAAAACCTAAAGTAATATTATTATACTTTGTTTTAATGTAGAACACAGTTGATTTCATGCTGTAGTTAATGTCATAAAATGATAGGATAGTTGCCCGAAATATTATGAAAGACTGGTAAATCACATTAACTGAGGAAGTAAAGTGGATTTTTATTTGTGGGTATTGATTTTTCATCTTTTAACACTTTAGTTTGTTTTCCTTCTCCAACGTATCATCAAAATGGGATATGAGCAGTCAAGAGGTACATGTCAGAAATTTACTGAAGGGACAATTAAAATAAAATTTTTAGAGAATCAGGACTTTTGCTGATTTGGGAAATTTCAGGTGGAGCTATTTTATGTTGTTTTAGTGCACATGAGATTTTCTGTTTCGATGTTTGACCAGAATATTACATCTTTGATTTTTCTTCCTAGTATGTGAGCAAGAAGTCAATGACTCTACCCCAGAGTTGGCTAAGTGTGAAAAATTTCAAAAGCCTGATGTGAAGGATGATCTGTCTGATCCTCCTGTTCCAAGCAGTTCTGTTTCTCAGAAGTCTCTGTGTAGTCCACAACTTTCAGATTTTGGACTTGAGCAATATATGATATCGCAAGTTCTACCAAACCCTACACAGGCGGTAAACAATCATAAGCAAGAACCCAAAATTGTAACTCCACCTACCAAGCAATCACTAGTTAAAGTACTAAAAACTCCAAAATGTGCACTAAAGATGGATGATTTTGAGTGTGTAACTCCTAAATTAGAACACTTTGGTATCTCTGAATGTACTATGTGTTTAAATGAAGATTACACAATGGGACTTAAAAATGTGAAGAATAAGAAAAGGTAAGCAGCTTTCTTTCTTTTTTTTTTTTTTTTCCTTTTTGTCTTTTTTCGTGACTGGCAACGGTTCGCAACCCTCAGTGTCGCGCCCGTACCGGACCGGGACCGGCAACGGGAT